GAAGCGGGGATGCCACCGGGTCAGCTTCTCCTCTGGCACCACCATGGGAGGGCTGAGGGCAGCCAGGAATGCCTGAGAAGGGTGAGAGCTGTGTCATGGCACCAGGATGGAGAGGCAGCCGCTGCCCTGCGCTCCCAGCACAGCTTGGTGACACAGGGAGCGGATTCAGAGCCCACCTCCAAGAGGAACCTCCGTGTCCTTCAGCCTGGATGGCACCAGTGACAACCCCAGAGCCCAGAGCAGGGGGTGCCAGGTGCCCCTCACCTTGTGGTGCTCCCTGACGATGTTGACCAGGTTGCGGTGGAATTCCCTCCTGCGCTCCAGCAGCCGCGACGCCGACAGGTGCGGGCGCCCATCCACCTTCTCCTCTGCCAGGAGGGATACGAGCGTCACCCACACGCCCCAGCAGGGCACAAACCACGGCAGGACAGGATCACAGCCCTGCCATGGAGCTGAGTCGCTGCCTGGATGTTCTCCCTCCTGTCCCAAACCAGTTTCCCACTTGCAGCACGCTCAGGGGGTCAAATTAACAGACCAAGCAGAGCATCCCTATGGATTCAGGGGTCAGGCAGGACTGAGAGTACCCCAAAACCATCCATACCTTCCCCCAGGACCGGCTCCAGCGTGAGCTGATACTCAGACTTCTTCTTCCCACCGCTGCCGAAGGTGGGGACGTTCTTCTCCTGGCGCAGCCGGTACGAGCTGGGATACACAGCCTTGATCTGCCCCAGGTGCTGCTCTTCAAACTGCCTGTGACAGCACCACGGGGGTTGGGGACGCCCAGAGCTGCAGCTGGGACCCCAAAAGGGGCTGCTGGGACCCCAAAAGGGGCCATCTCACCTGCGCATCATGTCCTGCACGCCCTGCTTGACCTTGGCGAAGGTGACGGTCTCGGCGCGGTTGAAGAGCATCCCGGCGATGGTGTCCACGCTGCGGAACATCTCCGCCAGCACGCGGAACTTGTAGGGCAGCGTCAGCCCCGGGGGCAGCTCCTGGGCCAGCGTGTGGAACCGCTGGTACGCCGGGGCCTTCTGCCTGTGGGGAGGGACAGCACGGGGTCAGGGCCCTGCTGCTGACACCGTGCCAACCTCCCACCCCACCCCAAAGCCCTTCTCGGGGTGGGTATTGGGGCCACGTCACCTGTGACATTGGTGTCACACCGCTCAGAGCCCCCACAGCCCTCAGACCCCCACAAAACCACCTCAGGGCTGTGGCAGCCCCCTCAAATCCTCCCTGCAGCTGCTCCTCACCCGGTCTCTCCCT